AGAGAGAGAGAGAGAGAGAGAGAGAGAGATGAGGATGATGATGTGAGGGCGCGTACCTGGTCTTGGCGATGGTCTACAGGGTCGAGATCTTCATGTACTTCGGTTGTTGCTGCTGACGTCAACAGGTTGCATTGTCGATTTGTAGGCTGGCAGTAGCTGTGTGATAGTAGCCTGGGTGCTGAGATCCAAGCAGGAGGAAGGGCTCTGGATAGATACGTTGGTGGTGGCGAGAGTATGCTGTCATTGACATTCGGATTCGGTGCTTTTGTTCTCCGTTGGTGGAATATCAGTGCATTTCTGCTTTCTGGACAGCGTTGGACTTTCCGGCTTTCAATGTGATTTTGCATTCTGTATTTCTGGCATTTCGCAATCGCTCATTTTCCTTGCACCTATGTGATGATTGCTATGCTGTGTACTAACTGCGTTCCGGGGCAGTGTTTTCTGTGTCCCAGGAAGGGGTAGATCGGGAATCGGTGAACTACAGGGGTAGGACTGAAATTCGACAACAGACGGACCCAGTACAAGGTCAGGATGGCCAAGGACAAGTGTAGAATTCGGCAGCTACCAGGTCGGGATTTTCTGGCAACTTGGGTACTAGGCCCAAATGAAGTCCGTCCGGTAGGCTTAGGTTGGTCTCGTAGACTCCGACAGTAGTGATGAGTGTGCAGGCCCATGCCCAGGTTGCTTTTAGGCTAGACACAGGCCCAGTAGCTGAACTGCAGACTGCAGGGCCATGTTGGGGTAGGCCTGGACCATGTTCGGGTAGGAACCTCCCACAGGCCTGGGCCATGTTCGGGGCAGGCCTCCCACCGGAACATGGCCCAGGCCTCCCACCAGAAGACTCAGTAATAATGCGCCGAGTCGTCGATGAAGGGAGGATGCAGGCCGAGTTGCAAGAGTACATCATTTGGCAGTAATGAGTGAGGCAACACCTTACCCGACAGTCATGCTCAGTGCTGCTCTGCCCAGGTGGTGAAGTTAGGCACAGCTCTGGGTGAGCGCTGGAGCTGGAGGGGAAAGGAGAAAACCTCCATGGTTATGAAGTAGTAGCAGTCCCTTCTCCACGCTCACCTCATAAAACGTACGGTCATTATAGCTGAATTTGAGCCACATTTTAGTCTGGATACGGCTATAATTACCGTACGTTTTATTCGGGTGAAGAAGGTAATACGGTATACGCCTAGGCTGTGGATATATATATAGAGAGCATGAAGGACCTGAGGAACATCTTCACGGGAATAAGACCACAGACAATGAATCTATGCCATCACTCCCCGAACATACTGTTCTGTTCGTATTTGTAAGTCATGGGACCAAACATCTGAGTGGGAAAGGGAATCAAAGTGGGAAATAAGATCATTCAGCACGACTGGACCGACTTAAGAAGGCAATTCAAGGCATACATAATTATTAATTACATGCACATGTTTATATTACACATAAACAAACTTTTTTTGAGGAAAGGTACGAGGAAACAAGGAGAGAGCAAGAAAAACCACATTCATCCACATGCTGGTCACAATCCAACTTGTCTCAATCAATGTATCATGCATTCATTAACACAGAATAAGACTGGCTCACCACACCGATAGAAAAAAGCTGAACAAGGATTTTGAAACCAAAATCAAACTCTCCGGCGGGCTTCATACGTCATCCACCATGACTCGGCAACAGATCTGCTCTCACCACCACCAACCTGGACCTGAGCTGAGTCCGTCTCACACCAACCCCTCCACGCTAACCTCAGGCTGATCTGTCATCTCACTCGGTCTCGCAAGCTTGTTGGGCCTGTTCGAGCACCTGCAGTCCGTCCCAGCGAAGTCGTATGCACCCCGCTCCATGACGACGAGCACGTCGCTTGGTCTTGCAAGCTCGTCGGGCCTGCTTGAGCACATGCAGTCCTTCCCGGCGAAATCGTACAGCACGTCAGGACTTTGTGAATGCCTCTACTTCCGCCTGCTAATCCATGCAACCTGGACCTGAGCCAAGTCCATGTCATACTAACCCCTTCACGCTAACCTCAGGCTGATCTCTCACCTCACTTGGTCTCACAAGCTTGTTTGGCCTGTTCAAGCACCTGCAGTCCATCGCAGCGAACTCGTCACCCCGCCACACGACCACAAGCACTTGCGGAGTTTGCAGATGCCTCTACTTCCACCGACTAATCCACGCGCCACGCGATGTCTTACAACAAGAAGATCGAAGGAGCAAAATTTATAGCATGTATCATGCACAGAACGGGGCGTTAGCCAGGGTAATAGGGGGAGAGAGTTCAAGTTGGTGGGGGGAGACAGGAAAGGAGGGAGGAAAGGCCTGGCGAAGACGCATGATCGGGTCGGAATGCAGGGGTTCACACCTGGCGCCGCACAACCGATCAGGCAACCATCCTTCCAGTCAATCAGGGGATGAGAGCGAAGAGAGAGGGAGGGAGGCGAGAGAGAGCAAGGACAAAGGGGAAGTCACAAATTTTGGGAGGACAGGTTGCTGCGGCAGAAGTTACAAGAGGGAAAAGCGGTTAGCGTGAAAACATAACAATGATGGACATGGCACGCGCACTCAAGAGAGAAGAAGAGGGAAGACAAGAAGTCAACAGGAGAAGCGGTACCGTGCGAGGAGTAGAGGCAGAGCTGTAGCATGGTGCCACAAATCCTAGCACTTTCACGAAGCGCAATGATTATCGCTCTCAAAGTTCGAAGTGTAACGCAATGCGAAACTCAACCGAGATGAGATACATCATCCTATCATCCCTTCCTAGCAAACCTACGGCGCCACACAGAATCGCGAGGGACTTTTCTGCAATCTTCCCAAAACCTTGAATACAAGAATCAAAAGAAACACTTAGTGTACATGCACATTCAGAAGTTAGCGAACAAAAAGAAAAAGAAGACCTACAGAAATCTGCCGATGACAGAAGTTGGCGCGTCACACTAAGATCAACTAGATTCATTCATATGCTATCTGTGCAAAGATCACCACCACCTAGAACTGGGCACACACTCTCACCCCCCCCCACCAAAAAACAAACAAACAAACAAACAAACAAACCACTTAAAAAAAAGGACCTTTACTTAAGAAAAAAAGACCCTTAGAAAAAAAGATCATACGTCCTCACCACATTCAGGTAATATGCGTGAGCGCAAGCAAATTGCGCAAAAGATGCGAAAGAAATTCAAAGAATAGAAAAGGCTATAGAGAACGCGAGGAGGAAAATGGAAAGGAACATTTTTGTGAGAACCGCCACAATACAAGCACTGTTGACGTTGACAAAGACATTATTTTTGCAAACTGGTGGGAAGAAGAATGACTGCAAGAATTGGATGCTCACCATCCGTCATATAGTGGAGTCGGCAGAAGATAGCCTTCGGATCTTTGAGCTGAAGTTGCTGAACACTTATGCCAAATCTCGTAGCCGATCGAAGAGCATTCAATTTTTTGCGGCGGAAGTCTGTCCAAATATGTCTAACAGAAATTCACAAGTTGTTGGCTCAGCAGTGAGCAGTGAAAAAGCTGTGGTCCGATCATCTGCTGTAGCACTGTGGAAGGCAAAGGCGGCAATTCCGAACAGCTCTGCAACCGCCGACTCTTCAAACTGTGACATCCTCCGAAATCGCTTCTGAGTTCCTCCGAGTCGCCTGAGTTGCGGCAGAAGTCTCTAACAGAAATTCACAAGTTGTTGGCTCAGCAGTGAGCAGTGAAAAAGATGTAGTCAGATCATCTGCTGCAGCACTGCTGGAAGGCAAAGGCGGCATCTCCGAACAGCTCTGCAACCGCCGACTCTTCAAACTGTGAAATCCTCTGCGAGCTCTTCTGAGGTCCTCCAAGTCGCCTGAGTGATCTGAAGTCATCTGATTGCTCAGTCATTCTGTGCGACCTGAGTCCTCGGACGCATCACTGAGCCACAGAAAAAAAAGAAGAAAGAAGTGAAAGCCCACAGTCCACTCTGAGAATTGTTTCTAGCCAAAAAAAAGAAGAGAACCCAATTGACCGAAAACATTTCCATTTCATCCAGAGTATCTGTCCATGTGGTAGAACAGACCATACGGCGTACAGATTAACCATGTTGCTGCTGCTGCTGCTGCTCCTCAAGCAGTGACAAGCACAGAGCCAATCCACACCACTTCTACATGTACATGGTTAAGGAACCTTTCAAGAAGTGCAGCTATGCTCCACCTAGGCAGTTCCTTGACTTGAAGTTACCTTTCCTGAGAAAATATGACACAGTGTATCTTCTATTCGTTACTTCTATAGGGCACCGGCTGCTTGGACTGTCACACAATTGGCCATTGGTAATGCCTGTGTCATCTCCCCCTGCTCAACCCCACTCTCTCTCGACACTTAATTACAAAAGCTAAGAAGTTGGCATTCTTCTCCGAAAACACAGCGGCTCAATGTGACACGTCAAACATCCACTTGTCTTTCACATTCCCTCCAACCAGCTTCCACCCTTCTCCTCCTTCTCCTGCGCATGCTACTCCTCCTCCTCGTCCTCTCCTGCGCATGCTCCTCCTCCTCCTCCCCCTCCTGTGCATGCTGCTCCGCACCCTTCTCCTCCTTGTCTTCCATACCGTTGTCATTGTTGCTGCTCCTCCTCCTCCTCCTCCTCCTCCTCTTCTGACTATCTCCTCACATTTCACATTTAATTACAAAAACTAACATAAGCTGACAGGCTTCCCCCAAAACACTGCTGCCTCTTGTGACCAGTCAATAGCAGTCATACAGCCATCCATCCACTCGTCTGCCACATTGCCTTCAAGTGGCTCCCCTCCTCTTCTTCCTCCTCCTCCTCCTCCTCCTCCTCCCGCTCCTCCTCGTCCTCCTCTTCCTCTTCCTCCTCTTTCTCCTTCTCCTCCTCCTCGTCCACCGAGTGCTTCTTCTCATCCTTCTCCTCCTTGGCCTCCTTGTCATTGTCGTTGTCGTTGTTGTTGTTGTTCTCCTCCTCGCTCCTTATGATCCATTCCCAAAGGTAGCCGCCTTATGCAGATCCCAAGTAGGCGGACAGTTGAGACTGCCACGTGCTCAGTAGTTACGAGTGATGAAGAGTGCATAGACTGGCTCCTTTGGCATGCTATGTGGGAAAATGGCAGCTGTACTATCGGGCAACCTTGAGGGCAAAGCACAATTCAGCATACAGGGAACTCTGTGCCTAACTGCTTGCTTGCTTGCTTGCTTGCCAGGATGATAAGTGATGCCTTTATACGACGAAATCTTCTCCCATATAAAAGTCGAGTCACTTGAGTGTCTTATATAAGAAGATACCATAAAAGGACGTAAAAAAGGACACCAGCTTGGTCAAATTTCTGCGATGAGCTTGGTAAGCTTTCGGGAAGCAGAGTCGACGAAGAGTACTTCTCAAGTAATCAGGAGCTGAAGTGGGAAACAGTCTGCACATTACGCAGGACGTGGCTCGTAGGTCTACAAAACGACGCTATCGTTTGAGCACAGACTGCACACCTGGCAAATTTTAGATTGCCGAAATGCGAGCAATCCTTCAACAGAGCTTGGGGTAGCTTCACATCACAACCCTGTTTCTGTGTGCAGCAGCTTTGCAAGTGCATACAGTAGGAGAGTTTGACTGCTGCAGACTGATTCAGCCTCGGATTGCGCCCCAGATTCAGCCTCGGATTCAGCTCCGGATTCAGCTCCGGATTCAGCTCCGGATTCAGCTCCGGATTCAGCCTCGGATTCAGCCTCGGATTCAGCCTCCGACTCAATCTCGGATTCAACCTCAGAAACAAGAGTGACAAGTTAAGCATAAAAAAAAAAGGTGTGGAAATGGGAAAGAGGTTCAATAAGCCTACAAAAAGAGAAACTGTGTAAGATACATAATCAGTGTTAATCACCCAGCAAGATTTTGGAAAGGACAGGTCTGATCATGATAAGGCCGCTTTCCGTGACATGCATATTAATGCATGTTGCACGGGTGTCGGGTGAGGCTAATGGATTTGGGCAGAAATGTTTCGTTGAAATGAATTGCGATGGATTGCTGTGTGGTGTGAAGACAACTATGGGACAAAGAAAATCTGTCTGAAGGAAAGGAACTCCCAGCCCATACTTGCCAGCTATGCAGTGTGGGAAGAAAATGTACTTGTAGCCATCCAATGATAATGAAATGGGGAATGAATCACACTGCAGAAGCAAACACTGGTTCGTGGAACCAAGCCAAGCAAACAAGCAAGCACAGAGAGAAAAGAAGAAAGAAAGAGAAAGAAAGAAAAAGAAAGAAAGAGAACAAACGAATGATCAGAGAAACTAATGAACGAACGAATGAACCAAAAAGAACAAAGGAATTAACAAACAAAGGAACAAACGAACGAACAAACGAACGAACGAACGAACGAACGAACGAACGAACGAACGAACGAACGAACGAATGAACGAACGAACGAACGAACGAACGAACGAACAAAGGAACGAACGGACGAAGGAACGAATGAAGGAACGAATGAAGGAACGAAGGAACGAACGAACGAACGAACGAATGAACGAACGAATGAACGAACGGACAAACTAACGAACAAATGGACGGACGAGCAAATGAATGAACAAATGAATGGAAAGAACAAACAAACGGACTAACGAACGAATGAAGCAAAGAAAGAAAAGAAAGAAAAGAAAGAAGCAAAGAAAGAAAAGAAAGAAAAGAAAGAAAAGAAAGAAAAGAAAGAAAAAAAAGAAAGAAGGAGAGAAAGAAAGAAGGGAAATGGAAGGAGGAAGGAAAGCACCATAGAAGAAAGAGAACCAAGTTGAATGACTAAATAATTGTGCATGAGCACTATGAGCATCACCTCGAGAGGTGAAATGTAGTGGAATGGATTGATTACAGGTGCATGCAAGTGATCATGTAACCGAACGAATGAATGATCTTTGCCGTATCGTTGAACATCCATGAAACACTACAGGTAAGGCACAGATGGATGACTCGTGAAGCTTCGATGAATAGCCAGCCGGCTGTGAGGTTTCATACAAAAAGAATGGGCATAAGCAAATGTTACAATGCTAATGGAACGGTTACAGTGCCATACTATATTTCCTTGCCCCCTGTGCTAATCGAGAAGCAGCTATTGATGTCTCCCTCCATGCGTAGTGTGCAGACGGGCCTCTGTGTTTCACAGGGGGAAGAGGAGGAAGGCAGGAACAGGATGTGCACAGAACTGTGTGTGTGTGTGTGTGTGTGTGTGTGTGTGTGTGTGAGAGAGAGAGAGAGAGAGAGAGAGAGAGAGAGAGAGAGAGAGAGAGAGAGAGA